GATGGCGTGTCGGACTTCGGAAGGGAGAACTGCAGGAACGACATATCCATCCTGCTCCAAGCGGTATGGTTGCAGGTGGACGTGGCTGTCAAAGAGATCCGAGTAGAAGTCGTGGATGACCTTCTCCATTGCCCTTCTGGATGCGGTGATTGTTCCATCCGGACGTCGGAGCATTGGTACGTTTTTGGAACAGTCCAAAACCGTTCACCCCCACGCCACGATGAGGCTGCGGATAGGATTTGTGGGGGTTCAAGGTGGATAGAAGTAAATAAACGCAAAAACCTGTTTCATAAACCACAGTATGCAACAGCAGCCGAATCCCCTATGTCTGTCGTGGTTGGAATATGATGTTCACTGAAATTCTGAGGAAACAATTGCGCTACAATTGGGATTTTCAACAAATTGTCATAACAACAAGGCTGAACATGGTGTGAAGTGGTGGAAACTATGGAGAGGTGTGACGTCCAGTGGTGTGGAATTTGAAGCGATCAAAAAAACAGGGAGGTTTTGAGGTACAGGCCATTCAAGATAAGATGTCGAAGGAACTAATGCATAACGACGTGTACGGCAAGTGGGCTTGGCCAAACTTCAAGGCCTGTTTTCCAGATATCGTTGGCAAAAATCAGTGGACTAAAAATTGTTGCACGTCGAGATGCTGTGCTGGTAAGCACTGGTGCCGCTTGCGCCCAAACGCTATTGCACATAAGGACACAGCGGTGATCCATGCACAAGATTGGAGCGTTGACGCAGCGTGGTTGGAAGCGCAGCCAGGTTGGCCTTGTTCGTACAACTTTGTCATCCTGAGCCGGCTACGACTGGTGAAGAATCTTCTCTGGCTGCTCTCCAACTTGGAACCATCCAAAAACGCCGCCGTCCAGCGCACTATCGCTTTAGGGGATGACGACTGTACACCCTCGGTTTGTGCAATAACCGTAGTAATTTTATCAGCTTCGATAAGTCTGGCAAGACCGTAGATAGCGGAGACCACAGGTTTCCACACAGTTCAATTGCATCACCATGAAGGTGCGGTCATGTCAACCTAGATGGCGAGCAGGGTACAGCATCGTTGTGTCAACCCATGGGGGGGGGGTCGTACTTTTGCTCTGGGGAGGGGGTCGTATTTGTAAGACAAATTTATTTTGATAGTTGATTTTTTCTTGTGGAAAAGGGGGTCGTATTAATTTTTTTTTATATGCACTATATGCATTTCTGTACGCCCGTGGGGGGGGTTGCATATACGTTGCATAGTTTATTGTATGCCTCCCACCACCCCGCCGCCTCGACAACTTTGGTCGCCGACTATTAATACTCAATTGCCTCATCATCGCGAAAAAGCCGTGGAGGTGGAGGTGCCGAGGGTAGCGGCCTGGACCCCATTCGAAGGAAGGGGGGGGGGTCGTACTCACACCGGCATCTCGCACATCCCCATGCTGTACCCTGATGGAGAGTGTCGTCATGAAGATACCGCTGCGCTTTCGTCCGTCGTTTTGTTTTCTCTCCATCGCTTTTCAGTATATCGTTTCCCCATAGTAAGATGAAGTGATCCGTGAATGCCTTCATTTGTTAGCCATGTCCATGCACGCCGACAAAAAGTGCACCTTCGCAGTTCCAACGTGCAAGATAAAGCAGTCAGAGGCGCCCTACATTTCACGTTTACTTTTCAGCGTTTATAGGCTGCAAGACAACTAGTTACACCGCTAGCTACCGCGCTTGTTGGCTGCAGCGTCATGGAAAGATCTCGTGCTTGTTACAGAGAATAATAGCGCATCATTTTTTGCAAGGTCACTGCTGGTTCTGCTATATGGATACTTTTTTGGGGAGAGCAAGCAAAAGTGGTCTACTTCGCAAAGCAAGATGCATTTAGCGCCGCGCTAAAATTCGCCAGTGATACAGTTGCAGTGCTGCGAAAACTGTTCAAGCACTGCTCACCGTAACCCTACCCAGAGTTTTTCGAAGTTACCAGTTTTGTTACAAAGTTTTTGTTTTTCTTTTCTTGTTTCTAGTGTTGGATAGGATTTAGCATTGAAGGATGCGAAGAAACGATGTGTGAGCCAGTAGTTGTGTAGCGGCCGCAGGGTACTTAGACGCTAGCAAGTCTGGGGAGCTCGTGCAATGGCACGACCGTGGGGGGGGGCAGCTTGTTAAGGGCGTCCTTGAATGTTCTGTCGTGATGGCCAATTTTTGGTTATTAGTTGAACACACTTTATTCGTAATAGTACCTGATGGCGGGGATCGTACTCGCGGAGAAATGCAGAGGTATGACTTGTGACATTTGTAGAAAAACTGAGGTCTTTAATTTCTCTTTCATTCAGCCACATTACTCCATTTACCACATATGCATCTTCAGTTAGGGCGGGACGTGCAAAATAAACCGAATAGTTACCAGGTCGCTTAGACAGACTGGTGGATTACGAACTGTAATAGACAGGCCAGCAATTTACTGATAATTTGTAGAAATGAAGCTATTATGGCTAAGGTGGAAGTGTGAATAAAGAATAACAGTTCAAACAAACATTATATATTAGTAATGCATATTAATACTCAGCAGTGGACCATTTACTAGATCCTACCTTGATATACGCAAGGAAAGTAAGAAAAGGAAAGATGAATTGGAGCACTAAACCGATACGTAGCCCAGAAAGATTCAAACTCAGAATAAGAGGAAAATAGACAATTTGACCCGTACCCACTACGAGTCAAAGGAAACTGTTACACAGTCAACAAAATCATTTTAAGCTATATAGAAAGGCTTTTTATTTAGTGTTTCTCGAGGAGTTCGATATCCTGATCAGCTGATCTATTCCTAGCATTCTGTCGCGGCTACAGTTATCACTGAAGCCACTCGTGACGTCTCAACGTGACGTGAGTTTCAGTGCTGCGCCATCAGTCTTACTCTAACCAACTAAATACCAGAATCCGCAAAGATTTATGGGAAACCAGTTGGCGTTCCTTGAACGAGCTCATAACTGTCAAAGAAAAGTTGCTCGCCTAAAGCTTCTGCAACAGTCTTGCTGTGTTCGACGTGCTTGACGATCTCTGTTTGTGTGCTGCTTCAAAAGATGAGATTACTCGTTATTCAAAATGAACAGAAAAGAATGTTTATACCCGAATGGGATGCACTGTAAAAATCGATGCGGTCGATGAATGTGTCCGAGTGAATTTCTTGAGTACTTCGATATTCCGCAAACACGCCGTATACATTGTGAGTTAGCACATTATGTCACTTATTCCACATTCTACTGTATACCCTGAAGTATAAGTCCCTTTCGTTGCCTGGGTGTCGTCCAAGCATCTTCAGCTTCTCCACACGGATTCGCTTCGACTTCCTAATAATAAACCACAGCAGAAATGGCGACACCAAAGTGAAGTACGGAACGGTCTAAAGGAAAAACATTTACAGTCGTAATTACCGTAGTCAGTCAGGGCGTGTCTGCAGCATGTGGGTATAAGACTTGTACAGCCTATTTTCCATCGATCGTCGCTGCTTCTACGACTCAGTGAGTGTAGCGAAACAGGATGATGACGCGGCGTCATTGCCACCCCCCCCCCCGACTGTGATAAAACTTGCAGATACACCCAACATAGTTACACCCACGCTTAATACACATATGCAGTCCTGAATCCCGTTGTAGTATAAGTTATATATTAATATTAATGTCAATATTTGGATCCACGCAACAGCACTTACGTAAGTGGATCCCAAAAACGTTCTGTACGTCACATAGGAAAAGTGTTCTCTAAATGTTATGAGCACTCCAGTAGATATCGAGGAGGTTAGATGGCAGGTTCCATTAAAAACCACCAAAGGAAGAAGAAGTCGAAACACGCTGTCGTTCTCACGCAGTTGATAAGAGGATTGCAGATCGGAGAAATTCCTGAAAGTAGAAAGTTGAAAATACATTCTGCGATTGTCTGGGGGGGGGAGAGACTCATTGTTGTGCGAAGGTGTCAAGTGCGCAAGTGCTCCTGTTGCCACCCGGATGTGCGTGGCAAGGAAGCAGAGTGCATGTGATTTTTTGATATTACTTATGACTCTGTGTGGTCTTCTATACGACTCACTGACGGAGAAAGTGTGCTGGGTCCAACAGAAGCAGTGTGCGACCTTTTGAGGAGATGCCGGATTCCATGTGTAAGACAACCTTCTTGGTAACTAGTCCCTCCCCAATTTCTGAAACTGCCTTTTCCGTTTGCTGAGTTGTGTGGCTCATTCAGGCTCTGTCATAAAGGGGTTCTTAAAATGTACGATTACCTCTTCATAGCAGCGACATTGAATACGTACAATAGTGTCATACCAACCAATGAAAATATGTCAATACCACATAAGATAAAGTGCGCTATTCTCATTCGCTCCGCCGTTTCATTATTATTGGCCGCACAATATACTACAAGGTTTGTAAGATCTGTCTTACCCATACACCAAAGGTGAGAATAAGAGCTGATAATACCTAAACACATGAAAACATGACAGCAGCTGGGGACTGACTAACGTTTGGGCGAGAAAACTTTTTTCTAAAGGATAGGGATGACCATAACGACGCCAACAAGGTTTGCATCGATGGCAGTAGATTTCAGCAATAATATTGTGCATTTTCCTACTAATATCGTTGAAAATACCTTCTTCAGGATGCATTGAAAAACCATGCAGATTTTTCCAGAATTTTGGAAATGTATGATTGGCAAAAGCTCAGCAGAAAAATAATTAACGCAGTCCAATCATGCATATACATGGCGCTCAAAAGCATTGGGCCATATAGTTCTTCGCCCACAACTCTTTTATTCGCCCAACCAGTTCCTCCCAATTCCCAAGCGAAATTACGACCTTTGTAGTGATTTGGAAGGGGAGAGGGGGGGGGAGGGGGACCCCCAAATAGCGAAGAAGTTGTCATAAATATGGAATGAAGTGCTCCATGAGCAAGTGCTTCTTTCCCGAGCATCCCAAAAGTTTCTGAATGCACAGTGCTATCATGCTTGCCTCAGCAGCACTGCAATCATCGTTCCGAAGATCGTTCAGCATGATCTTGACTGACATCAGTTCATTAGCGAGAGCGGGTTCGTAGTTCTCAACTCCAATGTTATCGAGTATGCTAGTCGTTCTCACACACTCCTGCGTGGATGAGTTGCACATTGTTCCCATGAAAGCGGCGGAGAGCGACCACTACTTTGGCCGTTCGGTTCCATTGGCTGAAGACCGGTTTTTTTGATCGCACACTTACCGTATAGTCTTAGCACTCAAGTATTCTTCCGGCAATCCATTCACTAATATTCGTCTCATTAGGACTATCGGTCTTGGTTGCAAAGTACGTGGACTCGTAATCAGCTTGTGAGCGCGAGTGATGGGCTTATCTTAGCAAATGGATGTCAATAATAATGCGAAGGTCTTCGAAACGATTACTACGGTCTCAATGCTGCGAACACGATAGCAGTGTGCGTTCAGAAAATTTCAGATTACTAGTAACACGCGAAACTCCATGCCCGTAATTTACCATATTCATGGCAACATTATTTTCGGTGCCCGAGTTCAAGTCTTCTGATTCAGTACGAAGGGCGAAATTTGGCTTTTGCACCTGAAAATAATGTCGTGGAATTCCTCGAACCTCGAAAACTGCTAATAATATGATGGCCTTGTACACAACCCGGTTCAAAAAAACAACGAGAATGGTGGTTGTATATGCGCCAACAAGCAAGGCACTTTTAGCATTTTCCACTTCTTCTCAGGACAATCAATAATTACCACCATTTTAGCTTCATATTTGCTTTCTATATCGTTCTATTTCACATGAAATAGAATGTTGCACAGCTTTCGACACTGTATGAACGAGCAGAGCCGAATTGACGTAGTGCACAAGCTTGTGTGAAGTGTCCGTCAAACAAGTCAGTAGTTCGACCTCCTTTGTAACTTCGTATCATAGTATTGGCGAAGTTGGTTCGAATACGACAGGATAACCAGAAAGCTGCGTGAGCCAGGGTTCCGAGATTGGTGTTGATCGCTGGAGATATTTAACAAGAACCAGGAACAGTTGAGACTCCACAAGGACAAGTACACTACTCTCTGCATAATTCCTTGCAAACTGCTCCCGGATAAGTGTAAGGTGTATTGTACGACCCCGACGAGAAATTAGGGGAGTTTTTCGTATCACGTCCAGCTGCGAAGATATTCAGCAAGAACTAGGAAAAGCTGAGAAACCACACTGACAGATAAAAAACTCTCTGTGGAACTCCTCGTCCACTGCTCACGGAGAAGTGACATGACGGCCTTTTGCGTAGCATTTCGCTCAGGTTGACATAAGGCGAGTTGGACAAAGGTATCCCTGACAGGATGCATAAGCAGTCCAGAGACCTTCGCAGAGGCCTTTCATTTTTTTTTCTAGATGTCACCTCGGCGGAAGTGGCGGCCATCCGTCTTGTCTGAGGAAAAGGTAACAATCTGACTAAATCTTATTGAAGGTAGTGTACCAATGACTGAAAAATGCTCAGGGACCATCTGGTGCCATTACTAAGCAAGTACCACTTTCGATGGCGCATTATCAAGCAGTACAACGCAGCCATTTCCGAAGCGAAAGATCTGTGAAGATTTCGTTCGCCCCTCTTGTAACCTGGGCATTTCTGTACCTATAGAACTGATAACTTATTTCTTATGCCAAACAGCTTTGTATGATGGAGTGCTTTAGAGTGCTTTATTTACGCCTGACGTTTCAACAATCTCGTCCGTTTCTAAAGGCCTGAAAGCATACCGAAACTGGTTGAATGCCTTCTATCCTATCAACACGCCCTCAACTAGTCGTAATCCAGACCAGGGAACTACAGACGAAAAGGAATTCCAGCAATAAGTTACTCATCACTTCCACCAGCGCCGAAGATTCGCTCAACTCTCGTCACGAGCAATTGAGACTCACTGTTGTGCAGTGCCATCCTTCTATTCTATAAACCACTAACCTTGTGCGTCGGTTTGTATGTTTGTAAGAATGTATGCATGTTTGTATGTAGGTTTGTATGTATGAGTCCGTCCGCAAAATGCTTCACGGGTTCGAGTTCGCTGGAGGAGAAAACGACCGCTAGGCAAACCGGTAACCGATTGGTGCGGATGTATCAATCCAATGTTTTGATTGTGATAACAGCCTCCGCTATATAAGACAACCATTCGGTACACTCCGAGCCATTGCACGAGCTGCTGGCGTGGCAGCTGGACGTGTGCTCGTGCGGGGGCAGGGTGGGGTGAGCCGGGGGGGGGGGCGCCGAGGGCCCCCTTCTGCTTCCTTCCCCTGCAGTGCTCAGCCGGACCTGAGCATGTGCAAGGAAAGGATGCAGAGCCGGGCCAGACTGGAACACTGAGGCCTTTTATCCAGGATGTGATATAGGCTATGGCACAGGAATATTACAGGTGGGTGACAAGAACTGCTAGCTGCTGATAAGATTTGATAAGGGGAGTAAGAATGGGAAGGTCAACATACTCATAACGCGGGACACTGCATCAGTTAGGCGTTGATTTCAGCAAATGATATAAAGTGGAAGGGGAGACGGCGACCGAGGCTGACAGGAAGTGACAACAGCTGATAGGGGCTGATAGAGAACGTTTGCCATGTTCGACACTCAAATAAACCTCGGCATTGCACTGATAGTAGTTGTTTCTTCTTGAACTGTACACGAGGTTATCAACGATCTTTATTAGTGGCTGACGTTTCGGTGAGTTCACCTTCTTCGGAGCCTGAAAGGGTGGAAGTCAATTTATGATCTATTCGACCAAATGCCTTACTACCCCACAGAGACCTTCGACCCCATCCTAGCCATCACGTAACCAATCAGGAAGAGGATTACCGTACCTGCCAGATCCACTAGGCCAGCTGCGAGAAGCACAGTCCAGGGAGCTCTCGAACCGATCGCATTCAGGGGCCCGTAGGGAACGCAAGCCTTATATACGGGGTTAACTCCCGCGTAATTGATAGACATTCTCCCCTCCGGTTCATTTTGGGGTCAGTGACCTGGATCCAAAATGCCTCGAGGGTTTTGCGTGCGGCAGTTTGAATTTCTTGCTCCAGGACCTCGACCGTGACCCCGAAGTCGACCCCGCCATGGGCATTTACCCTGTGGCAACCCAGCGCAGTGGACACCCGTGACCTAGTTTTCCCAACTAGGGTGTTCTTTGATCCTAACATGGAGCGGCCTGGCTGTCTCACCTATGTACTCGTCGCCACATGTTTGGCAGGTGATCTTGTAGACCACGCCCGTGACCGCGCAGTCTCCCTCCCTGCCGTTCGGGCAGACTACGCAGTCCGGGGTACCACACGTGCGGTCGTAAAGACGGTTCCGAATCAGACGACGCTTCGTTAGTTGTGTGGAGGAATCTCCACGACGCCAACAGAATTTTCCAGACCCGATCTCCTCAGACACTTCCTTATGGAAGTGCTAACTTCATCGGAGATAAAGGGTACCGCGAAGGGGATTTTCCCCGTAAGAGGGTCACCCCTTGGTCTGTTGGTTGTTGTGCGCCTACTGATTCTACGCATAGGTGAGGGACGGTCATAGCCGTTAAGCCCAGCAATTTCGCGTGCCATTCTCAATGACTCCTTCCTCTCCTCCTCCCTCGTACAAACAGTTGCCGTCGTTTCCTATACCACTTTGTGAGGTACGCACCCTTATCAGACCTGACCTGGACGTTAAGGAACGGAAGCCAGTTGTCGCACGGCTTCTCGCGCGTTAACTTGATGTGTTCGGACTGCTCATTCATCAGCGCAAAACATTTGTCGATTTCACACTGGGAAGAGCAGATTATGAAGCAATCGTCGATGTATCGACAATAAAGCAAGGGGAGTCGTTCCAATACTGGCGTTTCTATCCTGGCCATAAAAGCAATGGCCAGTGTAGGTGCCAGCCGTTGTCCCATTGCTAAGCCTCTAGTCTGCGCGTAGTACGTTCCTGACCACCTGAAGATGTTGCAGCTGAGGCATTCGTTCAACAGTACCATTATTTGACCGATGGAAAGCCCACCCATATCAATCACATCACGATGCTGCGTAAGAAGCTCGGAAACGGCCTCCATAGCAGATGAATTGGTGACGTTGGTATAGAGGGCTTCCACGTCAAACGACTCCATGACGCAGGTACTGTCCGAATGCACTCTGCTGAGATGGTTCAGGAACATCTGGGTGTTAGGAAGGTGCGAAGGGATGTAACGAAGCAGCTGGGCTAAAATGTGGTTGAGGAACCAGGCAATCCTGTCAGTGGGTCCCCCCACGCAGCTGATAATCGGTCTGACTTTAACCGACGAAGGGCTGATCGAGGTCAGGTCTTCCGCTGCCCCAAACTTATGCGTTTTGATGAGGAGGTACAGCACGGGACAAGAAGGTGCATCAAGTTTGAGACGAGATTTCAGTGATAGCCCATTGATGACGGGTGACAAGCAATTTTATCAATTGATAAGTAAAGATAAGGGGACATTTTCACGACATCTCTGACCACTACACTGCCAAGTAATAAAATCTCAGTAAGCGAACTTTTCCTTCAGCCATCACTTC